CGGCCGCTCGCTTCGTTTTTCACACTTGGGCGGGCCGTCCCGAACTTGAAGCAGAAGCAAAAGGCGACCGCAAAGTAGAGCGACCGGAGCTGGTTTATGAGCTGGTTCGCGCTGAGCTGCGAAGGCCTCCCCGGCGCTCTCGAGGTCGACTTTGGCGGCCGTCGCCCGGGGTTGCTGCCTTCTGGAACAGCTCCTTCGCATGCAGCTGCATCGACTACCCGCAGCACTCCGGACGCTTTTGGTGCTTCATCAGCCAAACCACAACGCCTCTTCGGACGTTGGCGATGGATGCGGCTCTTGATCTCCGCCTTGGCCATGTGAGCAACTTCATCGAACGGAGCCGCTGTGTGATGGTCGTCACACAAGGCGACGCGCAGATGCGCTCAAGCACTGCCAACCTCTCCTCGAAAACCCTTTCCCGGCGAGTAGCCCGCACATATCGTTGGAATCCTCGATGCGTGGGCGCGCCGAGAAAACTAGTGACGGCACTGGTGCGCCGGCTTGGCTCTATGCCTACGCCGAGTACTTGTTCTTTGGACGGACAGCGTCTCACAAAGTTCCGGGGCGACTCTTGCCTCCCCCCCCCCTGACCGGTGCAGCAGGGGTTGGACATGGTCGTTCTCGGTTTTCATCTTTTGTGTTGTTGCGGTTTAGTGGGCTCCGCGCGCCAAATCTCCGCGGATGCTGGCACTTGAAAGATATGTTGATGACTGTACGCTTGCTGGTACTGCTTCCGGCGATCTGCAAGCTTTACAAGCGCCTCCAAACGGCCGGCTTCGTTGTCGACGATCCATGTGTTTCTGGAGCGTTCTCCTCTCTTCTTTCTTCTCTTCTTTCTTTTCTTCTTTTTTTCTCTCTTTCTTCTTTTCTTCCTTCTCTATATATTGTCTGCCTTCTTCTCTTTTTTTGTTCTCTTCTTTCTTTTCTTTTCTTCTTTCCTCTTGTTATTTTCTCTTCTCTTTTCTTTGAATATTGTTTTTGTTCTACCTTTTGCCATTTCCAAGCCGGAGCAGAATGTGCTGCGCCTGCGACGCGAAACTAACCTCGAGATGCAAGAGTGCTGCGCCTGCCACGCCAAACATACCTCGAGCCGCAAAAGTGCTGCGCCTGCCACGCAAAACTACCCCCGGAATGTGAGAGTGTTTGTGTGTGTGTGTGTGTCTGTGCATGTGTGCGTGTTTGTGTGTGTGTGTGTTTGTGTGTGTTGGCGCGTGTGTGTGTGTGTGTGTGTGTGTGTGTGTGTGTGTGTGTGTGTGTGTGTGTGTGTGTGTGTGTGTGTGTGTGTGTGTGTGTGTGTGTGTGTGTGTGTGTGTGTGTGTGTGTGTGTGTGTGTGTGTGTGTGTGTGTGTGTGTGTGTGTGTGGTTGTGTGGTTGTGTGTGTGTGATTTTGTGAATGTCTGTGTGTGTGTTTGTGCTTGTGTGTGTGTGTGTGTGTTTGTGTGTGTGCTTGTGTGTGTGTTGCTGTTGTTGTGGGTGCTGTTGTTGTTGTTGTTGTTGTTGTTGTTGTTGTTGTTGTTGTTGTTGTTGTTGTTGTTGTTGTTGTTGTTGTTGTGGTTGTTGTTGTTGTTGTTGCTGTTATTGTTGTTGTTGTTGTGGTTGTTGCTGTTGCTGTTGCTGTTGCTGTTGCTGTTGCTGTTGCTGTTGCTGTTGCTGTTGTTGTTGTTGTTGTTGTTGTTGCTGCTGCTGCTGCTGCTGCTGTTGTTGTTGTTGTTGGCTCCGACGTTACGTAAACGCGCGATTTCACCATTCGCTGACGTAGCTTTTCGCGTGGCCTGCGTGGCACTTCGGACACATCGCCGCTCAAAAAACAGCTTTTGGTCTGGTATTCGTCAGTAATGGGGTGCGCCCCCGCCACGTGCGTGTCCAGCCTCCTTGAGCGTCGCGTTTCGTGTGGCCTGCATGGCACTTCGGACATCTCACCAGCCAGACAACAGCGTTTTGTGTGGTATTTGCACGTAGTCGTGACACGTAGTCGTGTATCCACGCTTGCCACCTAATAAGAACACTCGCTCACGCACCCGCTCGGCACTGTATTCACGCTTGCCACCTAATAAGAACACCCGCTCACGCGCACCCGCTCGGCACTGTATCCACGCTTGCCACCTAATACGAACACCCGCTCACGCGCGCCCGCTCGGCACTGTATCCACGCTTGCCACCTAATACGAACACCCGCTCACGCGCACCCGCTCGGCACTGTATCCACGCTTGCCACCTAATAAGAACACCCGCTCACGCGCACCCGCTCGGCACTGTATCCACGCTTGCCACCTAATAAGAACACCCGCTCACACACATCCACTCGGCACTGTATCCACGCTTGCCACCCAATAAGAACACCCGCTCACGCGCACCCGCTCGGCACTGTATCCACGCTTGCCACCTAATAAGAACACCCGCTCACGCGCACCCGCTCGGCACTGTATCCACGCTTGCCACCTAATAAGAACACCCGCTCACGCGCACCCGCTCGGCACTGTATCCACGCTTGCCACCTAATAAGAACACCCGCTCACGCGCACCCGCTCGGCACTGCACTCATGTGCTGTCACTTCCGCATCCGGGCTTTGCCGGCTTTACTGGTAGCAAGATCTTGGATGTTCGGCCT